TAGAACCATTACGTCAAATTCGCTGCCATTAAGTCAAAATGACGTAAAAATAAAATTGCTTTAAAGGCTAATAAAATATAAAAGCTCACAAAAAATTTTATAAATATGCATTCCAAGAGTTTTTTTTTATATTTTTCTTGTGCATTCCAATCTCTCCTTTGTTTCTGATACATGATAAAATCATCGATTAGGGATTTGGTACTTTATATATATTCCGGGTCAGTGTATAATTATTATCAAATGAATATTTTACGCAAGAGAATATTGATTAAGTTACTTTGCAATAATAAACCTTCAATTTTCCATTGCAGTGATCAACAAAGAATAGATTCTGGTCCTCGTAAGAGGAAAATAATAGATAATTAACATTCCGATAAAATAAACCTCTGTGATAGAATCATTATTTTTATTAAACGTTAACAAGCTTTTAAAAATAAAATAAAAAATAAAAAACGTTGTTTTTATTTTCCTTGTTAAAGCGCATTGATAAAAGCAACAAAATGTAGTAGTTCCTTGGTAAAAGGTAACAATTATGAAGCTTTGGTAAAAAGCCACATTTTATCTGCTTTGGTGAGTAAGCAAGGTTAGGATTAACGTTGAATTAGTGAGCGTTAGCAACGATTAGCAACGTGATTTGCTTTAGTGAGCAAGCAAAGGTTAGGACTAACATTGGTCAACTCATAGGTGTTAATAAAGTATCGTCCAAAGGTTAATCTGAAATACTGTTGGCATTATTATAATTGTAGGCATAAGGCTGTTAAACAAGCTACTTGAGTTGTTTTGCAATAAACCAAAGCAAGTTTGCAATCGGCCAATGAATGTAAACAAGGATGAACGACTGAAATAAATCGAAACCCACGAGCTTTGTAAAAAGCCTTCTTTATTTATTTACAGTAGGTGCAGTAATCGAGAACCAAAGTAAATTTGTAAACTAGTTAATTGACAAACACTGAATTATTGTGAGTTGCTTGCAATTAACTGACAAGAGTAGCCCAAAAGTTAGGTCGTAATTGGCATTAACCAAAAGGACCACCTTACAATATGAAATATATCACCACCATTTAACAAGAATCAAAAATTGTAAAAGTTTATTATAAGAAATATTATAATTTAGAAATAAAAATAAAATAAAAAGATAAATAATTATAACAAATAAATTTACAATGGTGATTAAATTAGTCACCCATCAATTATTTCTTTTAATTATATACTAGAATCTAATGTTTATTAATCAATCAAATTGCTAGTAATAATTAATGGATAGTGATTTCCAATTAATTGATAATGAAATTTTTTATTCAAGAAAGCTAAAATCAAGATTATTTAATGAACCGTCATTAATTGTATAACTTTTAAAGCTTTTTGATCTAGCAATCTCTTCATCTAATATTCTACTTGTATGGTATGCACTTGGATGTGATTTGTGTACTTGTTGCAAATCACTGATACCACCAACATCACCACTGCTGCTGCTACAATCATTATCACGAATTTCCTTATGTTTATTTTCAGCAAATATTAAAAGCTCTCTACTAGTTGGTCTTTTTGATGGATCCACATCCCAACATCTCTGCATCATTTGTACATAATCATCAGGCATTCCTGGTAATGTTGGTGGTCGTAAACCTTCTTCACATATATCAAAAATTAAACAATGATCATGAGCTCTATCATCAAATGGTGGATAACCTGCAAATATTTCCCACATTAAAATCCCAATGCTATAGATATCAGTTTCTTTTGTGTACTTTTTACCTCTAAGTAGCTCAGGTGCAACATATGATACAATTCCATAGACTTTATCTGATGATTTTTCATCAACTGGTCCACATAATCCTAAATCTGTAATATAACAATTACCTCCTTCCACAAGTATATTGCCACTATGTAAATCACAATGGATTAAATCTTTTTGATGTATATCATCTAACGCATCACATAAATATCTAAAAATTGTAATTCTGTCTTTTAATGTTAAATTTGAATGATTTTTTTGTAAATAATCCTTTAAATTTCCTTCTGGTAAATAATTTAAAACTATTGCATAATTTCCATTGTCTGAGAATTTAGTTACACCATAGCAAAAAACAACCATATGTGATTTAACTTTACAATAATTCATTGCCTGAAAATAAATATAAAACCAATTAGTATTATATTATATATTTTTGTATTAAATGACAACCAACTACCAACCTCATCAAAAAATGGTTTTCCTGGATTATTTGAATCATTTAAACTTTTTAATACTACTTCTTGCCTTCCAAAATAACTAAGTTCTTTTTTCTTTTCATTGTAATCAATTATTTGTCCTCTTGTCCATGTAGCAGTATAAATTGAACTAAATCCACCTTCAGTTAACTTTTTTATATCTTCAAATTGTTCAAAAGGTATCCATTCTAATATATTGCTTGGTAGAGATGATTTCATTTGGCATTTTTGGATAAAGTTATCAACAATGTTATTTCCAGATGTCCAAGTGGTGAAAAGTCTCTGCAATTGTAAGCTAATACAACCTTCACAGTATCTATCGGAATATCTTGTTGATTTACATTTTTTACATTCTTTTGGTTTTCCAAATTCATCTTTTGCATTATTTAATTCAAAATCATAAATAAATTTTTCTTTACAATATTCTTTTTCTTTTTCAGAAAGCTCCTTATTTTTTTTGACTAATGAAAAAAAATATACTTTTCTGCTTCCTGTATCAGAATTAACCACAGCATAATTATACATTTCAATGTAAATTTTAAATATGAATTCACTTCTTTCTGGTGATAATAATGATGATAATCTAATATATGACATTATTTAAATTTTAAAGTTTAACTTGGTGTTTTGTTTCAATAGAATGGAGATTTTTGAGAATAAGAGTTACATTGTTTCCTTTTTAACACACACAAAGAAAATATAGTTTCGAACATATTGTTTGCGTAACGTTTTCTTTTTTTTTCTCTGATTTTGGAAAACGTTTGTTCCACGAGAAATGTTCTGAATAATTCGTATCGAAATCTTTTACATAAACATTGTGTTCCTCAACTTTTAGCAAACTAAAATGTTGTGATCAAAATCAAAGGGTAACTAATCGTTTTTTTTTTCTTTTTTTTTCTTTTTTGCTGCGCTGGCTTGAACAAAACATTTTCATTTTCCCAAAAATGATTAATGGTTATTTTTTACAATATTCACGCCTTGGTTATTATAAAAAAATAAACGCGCAAATCACCATTACCATCTATCTATTTGTCATGCTTCATGCAACCGAAAATTTTTATCTATTTTTGTTCAAAACGCCAGGATTGAGAGAAGCAGATGCTTGACTGGAAACCGTGTTTCGTTTTTATCCCCCCGTGGTGTCTACCGTTGCCTATCGTTAGGTCTTCGTCTTGCTCTGACGTTTCGAACCGTACTAAACTGATAGCCTTCCCTTTGCCTCAGATATTTTCTGGTCACTGGACCGAGATTCAAAAGCACCTTTCTACGTTTCTTATCGGTCGATTTTAATGATCGATGAACAAAATACAAATTTTTTTGATTGTTTGTATTTGAATTAAAAAAAATTCTTTGGGATATGTGAGAATTTTTTTTTTTTTTTTTGATTTTGACCGTTTGAGGGATGGTGTGATAAGGGAATTTTTTGGCTAAATTTCCTTTTGGAGAAAACAAATAAATCTGGTGGGTTAATAATTAATTAGTCACAGGACATACGTAAAACATATATATTATTATTATTGAATCACGATTGTAAAAAATGTTGTACGAAAAAATTGTTGTTCACGTCATTCAATTCTCCGCTCCACAAAGAAAAAAAGTTATTCTCATTTATTAAAACATTAATTCAAAATTTTGTAATGTCACATACTCAATTATTATCATCGTTATCAACAGAAAGAATAGCACTTGTATTTAAAATTTATAATGGAATGCATAATAATGCTAATGTTAATTCTGATGGAGAAAGTAAAAAAGATTATTTTTTTCATTAGTCAAGAAAAACAGAGCTTTCTGAAAATGAAAAAGAATATTCTAAGGAAAGATTTATTTATCAGGTTGAATTAAGAAATGCAAGAGATAAATCAGGCAAACCAAAAGAATGTAACAAGTGTAAATTGACAAAATACTCTGATAGGTTCTGTGAAGGTTGTATTAGTTTAC